AGACCTGTCCTGTACCAGTAATTACAAGTGCAGGAGGTCAGATTTACAATAGATTAGAGTACTTTATAGCAGCTATGCACCTTATTGTGGTGCAGGAATGCGAGAGCCCAGGAAAACAAACAAGCTGACTTCAGAAGCCAAAGTTCCATGCAGACAAATCCAAGATCCAAGAATTAGAGCTGAGTGTAGTCTTGTACCAGTCCAGAGGTCAGCCAGTGAATCAGAAGCAGCACATATTCAGGATAGGTCTGAGACTGGAAAGCTGTTTAGCAACAGAAATCAAAGCTCTTTTTAATAGCTCTGATTTAGTCATGTCTATTTTCCTGAGTCATGCCTTTTTGAGGAGCCTCGTTGAATGACTTGGTTCTACTGACTTGATCTTTCTCTGTAAAGACTGGATCTTTCCCTACTTAAGCTCTAGGTCAGGTGATCCTCCTTCTCTTCATTATCTGACTGCTCCAGAACTGCAGGCTCTTCATACAACAGTTTCTATTCTTTCTGAACCTCATCTACAGATATCTGAGAGTCTGCTGGTGACTAAATTGCAGGATTAGAACTTGCTTCTTCAGTGCAGAGTCTGATTCATCAGACAAGTCCATAGGAAGACTCCATTAGTGTATAAGTGAAGTTAGAGGGTTTTGTCCTAATGTATTACTTCACACTTACTTGCGTCTGCTATTTGGATTACCATTCACCCAGTTTTAAAAGATTATATGGAATTCTTCATTATTAGTTTTTACCATCCTGAACAGATTATTATTTGACCAGCTCCCTGCTTAATCCTAAATCAAGATCTTTTGTAAAGTCAAAAAACATTGGTCCTAACAGACTCTTGAGGGCTTCCAGTTCTTACTGAGAAAATTTCCCATTTATTCCAGGTTTTGTTTTCTGTTTTTTAACTGAATAGGAATTCATAAAATTCCTCTTCTTCCAGGACTGCTAAGTTTACTCAAGCATCATTAATGGGGAACTTTTCAAAGGCCTTCCAATACTTTGGTACTTAGCCTGATTACTAGGAGGTCAGCATTTCTACATTTGAGTTGCTTTGAGAACTCTCAAGTAGATGCCATCAGGACCTGATAATTTTTGACAGTGTAATCTCTCAATATGTCATAGAATATCTTATCTTGTTACCAGAGTTTGCTTTAGCTGTTCCAATTCACTCCCTGAGGTTCATACTGTATATCTGTCTGGTATCTTCTGCAGTAAAGAGAAATGCAAGACATTACTTTATTATTCTTCAGTCTCTAGAAACTCCTTCAGGATTCCTTTCACTCCTTTGTCATCTAAAGGCCCAATTGCTTCACAGGCTGGTTTTCCACTTTGAATATTTAAATATGTTCTTATTGTTCCTCTTCATGTTGTTTTGTCATATTCTCTAATCATCATTAGTAATCATTTTTTTCTTTCCCTGCTAATTATCACCTTATACTTTTTTTGCCAGTGTTTGTGCTCCTTTTTTCTCCTCCTCTTTAAGCCAGGTTTTCTATTTCCTAAAAAAAGCCTTTTTAATGTTTACAGCTTCCTGGACATTACTAGAAAGTCATGATGCCCTATTCCTAGATTGGGCTGCCCCTTTATTCCCCAGTGTAAGAAATTCTAGATGAGTATCAATTAAGCAGCCTCCAGACACTATACAGAGACCTAGCTATCTTAACTTTCAGTCTCTCTGCTACCAGTCCCCTCATTTCTTTTAGAAATTTTTCCTTCTCAGACAAATGTGACTACATTGGACATTTCTGGCTGTTTCCCACTGCATAAACGTCAAGGGTATTATGCTAACCGTGGTTCTATAACAGTTACATTTTGCACAAGACCATGGCCACTAATGACTGGACCTATATTATGGAATAGCTTTCCCCTGAGGCCAGGTTAGTACCTATCCTAATGGCCTTAAGGAAATTAGATGAGCTTTTCCAGAGGGCGGGAGCAGATGATCAGCAGGCACCATCTGAGTTATGCTATTGTTGCAATAGTAGATTTGGTGTTATATAGTGTTATTGTTTTATTGCTATAGATAACAAGGAGTCCATATAGATTTTGATGATACTGTATATAAACTAGCTAAATAAATCAGTCTAGGATTTGTTCTAGTTCAGTTGGTTCTAAGTCTAGCTCTTTTAAGTTTTGGTTGGTTCTCGGTTTTTAGTTGGTTCTAAGTCTAGCTCTTTTAAAGCCAACTATTTATGGTATCAAAAATTTTGGTTTCTTTGTTATGAGCAAAGTGTTAATGTACCAAGTCTACATGGTGTATAAATGTACCAAGTCTACGTGAGTCTCCTTTCCATGCTTCCCTGATTTCTTTTAACATCTAAAGATCACCTTCCACATTTTGACCAGGTTGGCTATAGCACAACCTAGATCTATTTAAAACTTTATAACATTTCCTGAAAACTTTCCAAACTGAATGCTTGTCAGCCTGCTCCTAGGCATCAGTTTAAAAGCTCCTCTGTTGCTTTTTTGATGTTATGTGCCAGCAACCTGGCTCCATTTTGGTTCAAGTGAAACCTGGGCTCAAATGAAACACTTCATATTGGCTTTACATACAAGGACTATTGATTAATAATGTGCCATCAAGTCATTGTCGACTCTTAGCCACCACATAGATAGATTTTCTCCATGACAATCTGTCCTTAACCTGGTCTTTCAGGTCGTTTAATGGTGCACTCATCACCATTGTAACTGAGTCTATACAAGGACTATAGATTCAAATAATCATGGGGGTTGCATAGCCTTAATGTTTTGTATTCTTTCTAGACTTCAAGTAAATTTACCTGCCACTACATATACTGCAGTAATGGAGCAAAATTAAACTGAACCAAAATTTTATAAAAAGTTCATTGTGAGACTTACTCCTTTCTCTCTTATTACTCTTATTCTTTCTTTTAATTTATAAGTCTGAATTGGCTAATTCTTGTTTACTTCAAAAATTTTCTTTTGGGAGGAAGCCATATCAATACAGCTGGGGTTGTGTATCCCACTGCATCTGCTATGGTATGGAGATGTGAATGACCCCAACCCAGCTGCCTTAAAACAAGCTTTAAAAACCTTGTTCTTCTCCCAGGCACTGGATTAGTGTGTAGTTGGGTTTCTTTAAGGTGGGGGATGAAGTGAGTGCTTTTTGAATTTGCTCTCTCTGGGTGTCTACTGTTTTCTTAATATGATTTTTTTTCTTATCTGCTTTTTATGGTGAAGCTGCCCAGAGTCATTTTTGGAGTTCTGAAGCCTGGAAATGTGATGAATGAATGAATAAAAAGATAAACAAATACAAACTATGTTATGGCTATAAGCTTACATATACCTTCTGTGAATAAACCCTATTGAACCCAATTGGATTGCACTGTTAAGCACATAAAGATTATTTTACAACAGGCAATTATAAATTCTATGTCTATAATTATAATGACAAAAATATCTTGGAAAAAGCTTATCTTTTCATAAAAAATCATGTAGGAGATAAATGAAGTAAGTCAATACTTCTGGGAGAAGGATTTTCTGCTATTTTAAGTACAGTGGTACCTCGGTTCATGAACGCTTCTGTTCACGAACAATTCGGTTCACGAACAGTTCCGTTCGCAAAATTTTGCCTCCGTTCATGAATGCCGGATCGGGTGACGAACAGGATCCACGGCCATTTTCCCTCCCGTGACACATGGTTGCGGCTTCCTGTAGGGAGGGGTACCCCCTCCAAGCAGTAACCGCCTCCCCACCCGCCTTCCTGTCCTCCATGCCAGAAGTTGCGTCGAGCAAGGTTAGCTTTCTCTCTCTTCGTACTGTACTTTGGGTCATATTTTTGCGGTTTAAAAAAAAAAAAACATATGGTGTTTAAGAACGGATTAACAGTAATTACATTGAACCTTATGGGAAAATTTGATTCAGTTCACGACCAATTCGGTTCGCGACCAGAGTCGCAGAACCAATTAAGTTCGTGAACTGAGGTACCACTGTATTCTGAAAGTGTGGGCAATAATGACTCTTTAAAACATATGCAAGATTAGAGATTTTGAATTGATAACTGCCGTCTGGTCTCATGTCAACACAGTACTTTCAATATTCTGCTTTTCCATTCACAAACTGTTTCTAGAATAGTATCTGTATAAACTGATATTAATTAAATCTGTATAAACTGATATTAATTAATTAAAGACAGTTTGTAACTTTTCTTTTAAAAAATGATCCAGTCACCTATCTATATACTGTATTGCAACAACAGTAGAAAGGATTTGACATTCTAAATAGGTAAATGTTCACATAGTCAGAACAGAAGCCTATCCTTAAATCTTTAACTAGACAACTCAATTAAAATGGACTGATCTGCCTCAGATGGAAATTAGAACATGTGAGGAGAATATGACTTATAAAACTTAAGGCTTTTGACTAATTGAAACATATTAATGAAACTAGCTTTTAGAGCAATAATACGTTAATGCTATAATAAAACTAGCTTACAGAGCAATAAATAAAATTACTATGTGGACTGAAGTTTTCAGTCATGTGCTTATTATCAGTAATATTGAACAGGAAGCAGGAAAACAGATGGGACAAGTAAAATGCTGATGGAAGGAATGTGGCAAGAGAAAGAACAGGGAAGTGTAAAATTAGCACGAAAAACGGTTGCAAATCCTGGGAGTCATGTTTTGTGGTTTGTGGTTTTAAGGAATAAAAAGGATTGCCAAGAGGGGGTTGGAGCCACTCGGCCTCAAGCTGTCTATTTGACCGCTTGTCCGTGCTGGTCCTCATTGCAGTGGGAATGTATGTAAGTATGTTATGTTATTGGTCTAAAAATTAATAAAACTTTTATAATCTTGAAGTGGTCAGTGTTTTGGTGTGTATGTCTCTCATGTTTGACGAGGTTTTCCCTTGACAAACAGTATAAGGGAAAACTCAGAACTTGCCTATTCCTCCTGAGAAGAATGATAAAAAATGCAGAAACCTGAACATTCTTTCAGTCACATCAACAAACTATGTGTACAGAAGCAAGAGTACAGGCTAATACTCACCACATTGAAATCAAGATTTTTCTCCACCCACTCTTTGGCTTCTTTGAATTCTTCTTTCATTTCCATGATGTACAGTGTATCTAAGGCATCAACGATAGTTGCTCCTTGAATATTACCTGAAAAGAGCCAGCAACGTTATTGATAGAGTTCCTTTATTCGCCATTACAAATATTTGTGAAGAGAGAAGTTATAGCAACTTTCATGCTTAAATTTCTAGACCCTTAGTTTTATATACATATACATATACAATTTTTATTGATAGTTTTAACAACAATAAGAACTAATACCAACTAAAATAGAAAGAAAAAAAGGAGAGAAAAAAAAAGAAAAAGCTAAAAGTACAGAAAGAAAAAAAAGTAGAAAAATAGAAGAAAAAAAGATATAAAGTTATAAAGAAAGATATAATGGCTTCTGATCTTCTTCACAACAGTTACAATTATATTTTAACCTCTCTCTCTAAAGTTACATCATGACTCTCTTCTTTCTATAATCTATCCTGTAGATATAATGGCTTCTGATCTTCTTCACAACAGTTACAATTATATTTTAACCTCTCTCTCTAAAGTTACATCATGACTCTCTTCTTTCTATAATCTATCCTGTAGATATAATGGCTTCTGATCTTCTTCACAACAGTTACAATTATATTTTAACCTCTCTCTCTAAAGTTACATCATGACTCTCTTCTTTCTATAATCTATCCTGTCTAATCATCAAAACCATAAATCATAAGTTCATTTTTTTCTTTTTTATGCAAAACGTCCATAAGGGGTTTCCAGTCACCAATAAATGTAGATATTGTCTTTTGTCTAATCAAACGAATCAATTTAGCCATTTCAGCAAGTTCTGTCATC